GTGTGTGTGTGTGTGTGTGTGTGTGTGTGTGTGTCGTGTGTGTGTGTGTGTGTGTGTGTGTGTGTGTGTGTGTGTGTGTGTGTGTGTGTGTGTGTGTGTGTGTGTGTGTGTGTGTGTGTGTGTGTGTGTGTGTGTGTGTGTGTGTGTGTGTGTGTGTGTGTGTGTGTGTGTTGTATGCCTGGGATAAGCATGATAAATGATGTATAGCTCGCAGATGCACAAACGCACGAATGACATGAATTCACGCGCGTATAGCACGCAAACACCTACGCTATCCTACCGACTTTAAATGTCTGAAGCGTAATTACACCCTCGAACCTGCTGCGGGGCCATGATTTCTGATGCGTGGTTGCAGAAACATGTCCGCCCAACATGTGGTTGTGCCACAACGGTGAGCACTGCATTCCGATACCATGGCTCTGCGACGGAGAGTCGGACTGTATTGACGATTCGGATGAAGCAAATTGCTGCAAAGGTAAGGCCTACCTCTGAAGCTATTACCTGTGAGCTATACACGGTCTCTTTCTCCTTGTGAGCGTGTTGCAGTGGAGTGGATGCGTACTCCTCAATTGCCTGCATGATATGCGGCCTCGCGCTCTCTGTTTCTCCTATCAGGACGCATCACAGCAAGGGTAACATTTTTGTAACTATTATATCTGACCTTACGGGCCATCCAGCGGTGCAACCAGGAGATGTGAGAGCGCAGTTTGAGAGAATTGTGGGGAAGATATATGTTGGGTAGATACAGAAATGAAGATATAAATAAATGTAAAAATATAGAAGATGGGGTAATACAGATGTTGACACAGACACTGGGTTACCTGCTGATATAGACCTGCTGATATCTTATTGTGCGTGTCATAATAATTATAGACTATGTTGTGTGTGTCATAATATAGGCTAAATTGTGTGTGTCATAATATAGACTATGTTATGACACTCCTGACCGTAACCTACCTGCGTATTGAAGCTCTGGTAACTGCATTATTTATTCTTCCACAGAATCAAGCGATACAGGGGGAGCCGAGATAGCGAGAGACGAGGACACGGCGGGGACACATGACGTCACGGGCCATCGCGAAAAGGAACCGACCGGAGAGCAACGAACAGAGTTCCGCGATTCGCAAACCGAGACTCGAACTAGAGTAAGCGTGACGGCAAGCTACTTCAATACTGTCCGTCAGTCGGTCGGTTTGACCAGTGGCCGCCCTACTCTGACCGGACTGCCCGCGACAGCTACCGCACGTGCGGTTAACACGGTCGCAACGGTTACGCGCGCTGAAGAGCGGAGAGAGGACGAGTTCGTGTCCACTCCGCCCGGGGCGCTACCGGTCAGTGTGGGTGGCGCTACCGTCGGCTCTGGTGGCGTTCGGATGATTGCCACCTCTGGGATGCTGGTGATATCATGCGTGCAAACGATCGCTGTGATATGCTGATGTACAGACATTAGAATTTATATATATATATATATATATATATATATATA